AAGAAGGTTCACGATCCGATTCGTTGAAATTAAAATAGAAATAAATCTCGGATTTCAATTCATATTACATAAATATGTTTCCCTTGATTTTTTTTTTCAATTTGGGGTAGTTGAAATTAAATTGCCACAAATATCGGGTTTGAATCTCACCTCGCCCAAAATTCATAAATCTCACTCTACTTAAAAAACGATGCTCATTGCTGGATGGCTTCGTAAGTGGGCAAAAATAGAAGCCAAAACTCATAAAATTTTATTGAGAATTGGCCTCAGCCTTATTTATCGGGCATGAATTCGCCTGGGAAATAAAGTAGATGCCAAAATGAGAGGCTTAAACTCGGGCAAAACCTCTGTCTTATTTTCCGGGCATGATCTCGCCTGGGAAAGTTTCTCCAAGAAATTATCCAAGGCCAATATGAGAGTCCAAAACCTCGAACTCGCCCGAGTTATGAAATTCGCCCGAAAACATCAGTTCACGGGTGAGTTTCCATAAATTGGATTGTTTTTCGGGCAAAGTTTTCAATATATAAATGTATTTGTATATTATGTTAATGAAATATATTTTGGCTGGTTGGTCATGAGTGGGAATTGCATCGGTCAATTTCCCGGCACTCTTCCTAATCCGAGTTTGAGATGGAATGAGATCCAGACGTAAAGTCTTGTCGGCCGGGAAGGGATTTTTTCTATTGATTTTTGACTCCCTTCTAGCCTTTAAATAAGGTGTTCTTCTATTTCTCCATGAGGGAAAACTCTTTCGAGATGGAGCAATGCATCTCTATCTTGAAAGCCCGCCCTACAGATATGAGTTCCTATCTCGATTGCCTATCCAACCCGAATACTCTTATTCGTGGTGGATTGCTTCGAGTAGGATGGATCCGATCCCATCCCAGCAGTCAAACTCCTTCGTGATCTAAATCTGTTCTGCATCTATGAGTGCATGCGAAAACTTTCTCTTTTATTGGTGTCTAATAGGTAGGCTATTAGATTGAGTCGAAAGCCTACAAACACATAAAGGTTTCGATTCGAGCGAGAGTCCGAATAGGGATCTTCCAACCGTCATACCTTGACGAGTCATACTTCATTCAATTTTACAGTCATACCTTGACCAGTCATACTTCACTCGATTTTCTGCATAAACATAGGAGGTGAAAGACCGGAAGAGATATATGTCAATTCAATTATGATTGTGCTGTGGGTTTAGAGTAATGTTTTATGGTTAAACTCATAGTTGGTAGTTAATTATGTATGATGAGGTAACTTGTGTCCATGGAGAATTTGAGGGTGAATTAGTGGTGGATTTTTACTTTCCGAATACTTACTTTAACAATTCCACTTCCGTTATGGAGTCTTCGTTTTTTCGTTACACATTTCAGAAGTTGAAGGAGAAAACATAACTCACATCTTAGATTATATTCTATTCCATCATATAATATCATACACAACCCAAACCTTTGTTCATCTTTTCAAAGTTACAGACGCATGGAAGAAGACACCAACAAGACAAAACCCATTTTCAGAGAGACCATTTATTCTGATTGACACATAACAACTGATCCAAACATGAGCGGAGACAACAAAATTGTCTAACCAGAGATGTCAATGGACTTGATTTCTGGTTTCTTCTCTTCCATTTTGGGCACCGTCACAGTGAGAACTCCATTCTCCATGCTGGCCTTCACCTCTTCAACTTTGGCATTCTCCGGCAGCCGGAATCTCCTCATGAACTTTCCACTGCTTCGTTCGATTCTGTGCCATTTGTCGTTCTTCTCCTCCTGCTCTTTGCTTCTCTCTCCACTGATCTGCAGAACTCTTCCCTCTTCAACCTCCACTTTCACTTCCTCCTTTTTGATCCCTGGAAGATCGGCCTTGAAGATGTGGGCTTGTGGGGTCTCCTTCCAGTCGATTCGAGTGTTGGCAAAAGCAGAGGTTTCAGAAGCAGAGGAAGGGGCATTGGCCAATGCGGTGGAATTGGAAAATGGGAAGCCATCGAGCGGATCCCATACATCCAGCGAGAAGGGGTCGAAGATGTTGCTTCGTCGGCCACCGAAAATGCTTGGAATCAGCGACATGCTTCTTCAAATTTTGTTGAAACTAGAGAACGCAGAGAGAGTGATGGTGGATTGAATTGAAAGATTGAAATTTGGGGGAAGTGGGATTTCGTTTGCTGCTTGCGAATTTCGATGCCCTTTCACCGCTGCATTTGAAGCATTTAAATAGGTGATATAGCAGAACTGCGAGTGGTTTCGTGGGGTTTCTGGTGTTTTCCTTGTGATTTCTCTTGAGGATGAAGGTTTCCACAAGCTTCTACTTCCTTCTGGACCCATTTTGGACTTTCTCTTCAACAATAAATCAGGCCCAATCAATTATGAGCTTAACAATTTTAACAAATTTTAATCTCATTCGTTACAATGCTAAATTTAAATCAATGGTGAAAATTAAACGTACATTTAGAATAAATGGTGCAATTAACATTCTACCACTCACAAGGTTTTGATAGAGGAGAAGAATGCACGTTTTATTTTTTTCATAAAATAAATAATTGTAAAAAAAATTAGTGGTGGGTAAAAAGAAAAATTGAGAAATTTTCATGGATGGCAATTCACGTTGTTGTATTTTTAAATATAGCAACAAAATGATGTCACTTAACCTTTATAGATTGATAAGACTATTTTAGTAGGCACGTCGATGGTAGAAAATCACATCAACGAGACCTCCAAACACTTAAACATAAAAGATTTTGGACTTTAAGCCTAAGGCAAATTTCATGTCTAAATTCCGAATGAAAATAATTATAGGTTGTAAATCTCCCAATTTCAGCAATGTTGGTTTCAATCGTTTACGCACTAGGAGAGGATTGTGGTTGAGATTCAAGGTAGGAAGCCTCATAGCCAAAACTGAGGAATCACACTTCGCAACCTCATTCAGACTCAGGCTTTTGTAAAAGTGCTGAAGTATCATGAGGAATTACTTTCAACCGCTCATCTACTACAAGTTTTAGGTCGGGAATCTTGTAGTTGTGCTAAGTGACCAGGGAGTGGAATCTACCTTTCAACGCATATATATATAGAGATAGACTCCATATTCACATCGGCGAATCAAATTGTTTATCTCGAAACAATACCTCAAATTCCTAGTCAGCCTTGAAGCTCTCCTCTTTCTTTGTGTTGGTTCTCTTTGCACTCTTCTAACTCTACTCATATTCTCCAAGTGATTATAATCACCATTAACAACCAATTTCATTGATGCCGAATAATCGTGACACTCCCAAGTTTCTATATATAACTTCTTATTAAATTGGCAGTTGTCACTTAAACTTTCAATAGTTTTATTTATATTCGCATAATTTTCATAATTGTCAAATAATATTTAAGTTAAAGAAAAAAATCTTTCAATACTTTTATGATTAAAAAAAATACATTTAAGTTCTATGCTTTTCCATTAAGCAACGATTTGTCCTTGAGCCCTCAAAACTAATGATTTAGTTTATATAATTCCTAGGATTTCATTATTTTTCTTTTGAAAGGTTTATCAAAACGACATTTTGAACGTTGACCATAGACCTCGGAAAAGTAGGGTTAAAGTTGACTCACTCAGCACTTAAAAAGTGAAATATTTACAGATTCTATAATAGAAATAAAAATGAAATTCCAATTGGTGTAGAAAGTTGGAGAAGACTGGAATTTTCTAGAACTTCTCTCACACTACTTTTCAAACAAGGAAATGAAAACACCAGAAAAGGCGGGAAGGGCCTCAAATTCTGTGTTTCATCGTATTTAAAGGCTTCAGTGTTCCTCAATTCCGCAATCAGCAACAAAACAAGAAACAAAATACTAATCCACACTCTGTGCAATCTTTACTCAAAGCTAGTTTCAAGAGCCAAGCAAACACGATGTCTCTGATTCCAAGCATTTTCGGTGGCCGCCGAAGCAACATCTTCGACCCATTTGATGGGTTTCCGTTCTCAAACTCAATGGGCATTGCCCCTTCCTTCGCCGGCGAAGTCTCTGCTTTTGGCATCGACTGGAAGGAGACCCCACAAGCCCACGTCTTCACCGCGGATCTCCCAGGGAACAAAAAGGAAGAACTCAAAGTTGAGGTTGAAGAGGGCAGAGTTCTGCACATCACTGGGGAGAGAAGCAGACAGCATGAGGAGAAGAACGACAAATGGCACAGAATCGAGCGGAGCAGTGGAAAATTCATGAGGAGATTCAGGCTGCCGGAGAATGCCAAAGTTGAGGAGGTGAAGGCCGGCATAGAGAATGGAGTTCTGACTGTGACAGTGCCCAAAATGGAAGAGAAGAAACCAGAAATCAAGTCCATTGACATTTCTGGTTAGACAGAATCTTGTTGGTGCATCTGATGCTGTCTCTGCCCATGTTTGGATCAGTTGTTAATGTGTCAATGAATGGTGTTGAATAAATGGTGTCTCTGAAAATAGATTTTGTTTTGTTGGTGTCTTCTTCAGTATGTCTGTAACTTCGAAAGCATGAAAAGATGTTTGGGTTGTGCGTGATGTCATATGATGTGAAATGAATACCATCTAAGTTGAGTTTTCATTTTTCTTCTTCCATTTGTCATCAGCTGTTTATTTCAGAAACAAATTTTCGGAGATGAGATCATTTCAAAGTTTGTTTCTTAAAAAATTGATTTGAACTTGTCTTACTTTCTAAGAATTTCTTCGTTTAGGATGGCGAGTAGATTTCATAAAAGAAAATGAGTTGCATGTATACAGCTGATGACAAGTAGATTCACCTCCGTCGTTCTACTATCACTCCTAAACACACACTAATTACCAATTAACATATAAGTATTATCCCTCCTAAACACACTAATTACGGACTATAATACCAATTAACATATGGGTTCATCTATATACTAATTACCTTGGTCCCCAGATTCAATATTGAGCTGATCTGTTCTGTCCGAATCAAATCAAACAATTGATGTATAAGAGGAGGCACAATGCATCCCATTTTTCATTATAATCTTCTCGAAAACTCACACTTGATTTTGTTGATTCAATCCTACACACATCTAATTTTAATTCAGAAGACATCAACAAAATGCAATTTCATATATAATCAAGCAGAACACGTCTTCCCAGAGATTTAAATTAAATGGCTTCCTCTTCCATTTTAGGCACCGTCACAGCCAGAAACTCCGTTCTCCATCTTCGCCTTCACCTCACCGGCGTTCGCATTCTCCAGCAGCGTGAGTCTTCTCAGAAATTTGAAGATGGGGCTAGAAGGTTGTTTCAGGAGCAGAGGAAGAAATGTGGCAGAGAATGGCAAATTTCGCACGAGAAGGAATGGAATTAGTTAAACTACTACAAGAAAACAATTTTAAATGATATTTAATCGTTGGATGTAAATTGACAACATTGTTGTATGCAAATTGAAAACCTTCAAGTTTTTGTAAGTTTTACAGAATATCTTTTGTATCTCCATGATATACAACAAGTTAAATTCTTTCAGCATGCTTTGTTGGCCCTAATCGTCCCAACATTCTCCTGCGATCCGACTGCGCCACCTGCTTYGTCCTCAAAGAGACTAGGAGTTCCACCAGTTGAAGATTGCTTCAAATCAAGCACGTTTAATATTTGAGTTCTTATATGATTCAGCCACCGAAAAAGAATGCGTGCCTTGTTGGTATAGGTAGTGACTATCAATTCTTTTTAARCCTTTATTGATCATTATTCCATGATTTCAGGATCTCTCTCATTCAGATGTGGTATCGGTTCATTCATGTACCCTCATCTGTAGTCTGTAGTCGAGTGTCACAGTTTCTCCATAAATTGTTGTTATAGTTAGAGAGAAAAATGTAGAGAAACAGAAGGAAAATTGTTAAATAAAAAATATCTTGAGTGGAACTCGCTCTATTGCCACGCTTTTCACTTACTTGCGAGTCCTTTTATCGACTCTGACTTCTCCATTCCAGTTGAAAATCATAGCTCTAGCAAAAAATCTTAAACATCAATCCCTCAATCAAAAACTTCATTTTGTTTTTGAATATCATATTCATGGAATATGATTCACTTTCAAGATGCCTCGACAGTTTACCATTTCACGAGAYTCAAAATATCGCGTTAAAGAGAGTAAAGGAAAAGTTCTTTCCCTAAATAGAACCAAAGGAGGAGTCAAGCTTTAGTTTCTTTTTTTATATGAAAAAAAATAAGTGTATAGGAAGCCTATATAAATTAGGGTCTYTGAACTCTGACCTAGTGAGTCCCCTTTTGGAAGATACATGAGTGAAATAATGAACCTATTGATAGGTATAGGAAGAAATTCTATCAAATAGAGATTTTTTTTCTTTTGAACATCTTTTGATTGTTTGATCGATCATGGAGTGTATTCTTTCTATTGAAGCGTTACGTAAAAAACCTTCTTTCTCATACATCTTGCAGGTTTTTGGAAGTTCAAAAATATTGCCTTTGAATTTCCAACTGAGAGTTCCAAATCTGTATTTCTTTGGTTTTGGTTTTTGGAAGTTCAAGAATATTGCCTTTGAATTTCCAATGGAGAGTTTCGAGGATTTGGAGTCGGATACGATGTTGCCTCTAGCTAAACCTGCCATCTCATGCGCCAAAATCAAATAATTTTTCTTCCTTCCCCACTCCGTTTTCTACCTATGCACTAGCGAGCACAGCACTTCGATTAACTGACGGAGCAGGTTACCATAGAAGGACAACTTCTTTCTCCCTTACCTTGTTTCATTTTCCTTCGTAATGGAAGGTAGGAAGCCAGGTTTGATRGAAGGCAGCAGAACTATTATTCATGTCACACTGCTATGTAAAAGCTCTTACCTTATAAATATCCGTTCTCAGTTTTTGGAGATGCACCCTGAAATCTATTAAAATTTATAAGAATTTCATATCATTTTTATTTTTAAAAATTCTAGAATTTAAAATAATTTAATGCCTGCGTAAGTATCCTATCCCGTTATCAAAATTTTTAAAGAAAAAAAAAGAGAGAAAATATGGGAAATGGAGAGAGATTTTTAACCCAAACAGCTCTACCAAAGTCAAAACTGACAACGTTATATTCATCCCAACAGTAATATCATACAATACACACAAGTACAGAGCCAAACTCTTTCACCTTTCAAAAGTTACATTTGCAACACACATCAACAAAATACATTTGCACCTCAAGATAAACCCAAATGGGACAACTACAAGAGAACCAAGAAGATTTTATCTAACCAGAGATGTCAATGGGCTTGATTTCAGGCTTCTTCTCTTCCATTTTGGGCACTGTCACAGTCAGAACTCCATTCTCCATGCTGGCCTTCACCTCCTCAACTTTGGCATTCTCCGGCAGCCTGAATCTCCTCATGAACTTTCCACTGCTCCGCTCGATTCTGTGCCACTTGTCGTTCTTCTCCTCCTGCTCT